GCGCCTCCAGGACGGTCGCTCCGCCGCTGCCCCCCGCGCGGCTCGGGGGGTTGCCCCGGGGCCGTGGGGATCAACATCATCATCACAAGTATAATCACCATCATCCACTTCATCACCAGCAGCATCATCATGGACACCATCATCACCAGCACCAGCACCACCATCACAATAGCCATCACCATCACCATCATCATCATCATCACCACCACCATCATCATCATCAGCAGGACCACCACCACCACCACCATCACCATCATCATCATCATCATCATCATCACCACCATCACCATCCTCATCGTCATCACTATCATATCACCATCATCAGTATCATGATCAGTATCATTATCAGTATCAGTACCATCATCATCGTCATCATCGCAATCGTCATCGTCATCGTCATCGTCATCGTCATCCTCATCATCATCGCCATCGTCATCGTCATCGTCATCGTCATCGTCATCGTCATCGTCATCACCACCATCACCATCACCATCACCATCACCATCACCATCACCATCACAATCACCATCACCACCACCATCATCATCACCGTCACCATCGTCATCATCATCATCATCATCATCATCATCATCGTCATCAGCATCGCCATCACCATCATCATCACAATCATCATCATTACCATCACCATCACCATCACCATCACCATCACCATCACCATCACCATCACCATCACCATCACCATCATCATCATCACCACCATCATCATCATCATCATCATCATCATCATCATCATCATCATCATCACATCGTCGCAATCATCACCATCGTCACCATCACCACCCCCATCCTCATCCTCATCCTCATAATCATAATCATTTTCATTGTCATCATCGTCATCAACATAATCCTCCTCCTCCTGCTCCTCTTCCCCCTCCTCCTGCTCCTCCTCCTCCTCATCATCATCATAATCATCACCACACGCTTACGCACCCTGATCCTGACCCCTACCCTCATCCTCACCCTCACCATCATCCAAATCCCGATCCTGATCCTGCTTCTCCTCCTCCGCCTCATCATCATCGTCGTCCGTGCACCATCTCCAAAACCCTTCAAAAGCCACCAAAAGGCCAGAACGAGCTAAGGGCATCCCAGAGAGTCCGAACCTCGATCTGCGACCCCCCCCCTCGCTCCTCTGGGCGGGGAGCATCCCGTCCCACCCATTCCGTCGTCGTCGTCGTCGTCGTCCTCCTTCTCCTCCCATGTTCGTTACCAATAACTCCTCCCATGTTCGTTACCAAGAACTCCTCCCATGTTTGTCGTCGTCGTCTTCCTTCTCCTCCTTCTCCTCCCAGGCTCGTTGCCAATAACTCCTCCCTTTCGCACCCCCAGGCGCGTCGGTGGGGCGGGCCAGGCGTTTTGCCTGATAAGTCCTTTCCACTTGTGATTGCGGATGCCACGACAGTGGACACTCTAACATCTAACAGTTCTATCATTGAATATAAACTGGGTTTAAAATTTGTAACAAGCATGTCCTAAGAACGTTTCAACCATGTTTTTACACATTTAAAACATGTTTGAACCATGTTTTAGGCATCTGGCAAATATTTGGAAGCGTGCTTCCTCTCCATTGATCGTCCTCCACAAACTTATGACCCTGGAACATGAAAATTGCAACAATTTCACGGATGGAGGGCGGGTAGCTTCTGAACTGTGGGTCCCGACTTGGCGGCGCGCGCATGCGTCTCAAAATGTTGCGACAATTTCACGGATGGAGGGCGATTCCGGGTCTTGGCTTGGCGGCGCGCGCATGCGTCTTAAAATGTTGCAGCAGTTTCACGGATGGATTTGCAACATGTGGTTTTCGACTCAGCGCCGCGCGCACTCGCCTTCAAGATGTACACCCATTTCAATGGTTGAGGGCGGGCAATTTCCAAAATGTGGTTCTCGCCGTAGCGCCGCCCACATGCGGTGCAACAAGTTTATCGAGGGCAACTCCTATTTCAAATGTGGCTCTCGCATCAGCGCCGCGCATGTTCGTTCTAAATGCGCAAGGGCTTCACAGCTTCACGAATGGAGGGCGGTTCCTTTTCAAACTGTGGCTCTCGCCTTAGCACCGCGCGCACTCGTCTTTTTCCCAACCATCCTGTGGTGTTGGGTCATCGTTTTGAAGAGACGGTCCCCTCGTTCCTCCTCATTCCTCCTCCCTCTCCTTCCTTCCTCCTCCCCCTCCTCTTTCCTCCCTGCGTTTGACCCACCCAGTACACCGTTTCGTAGCCCCATAAAGAATTCCACACAAGGCCCCATTGCCAACGCTCGCATGCGCCCCCCACACCCAATTTGGCACACCCCTCACTCGCTTCGTGGCCCCACAGGGAGCTCCACCGAAGGCCCCAGTGCCACCGCCCGCATGCGTCCCCCACACCCAATTTGGCACACACACCCCTCATGCACTTCGTGGCCCCATTGCATAGGGAGCTGCACCGAAGGCCCCAGTGCCACCGCCCGCATGCGTCCCCAGCATATATTTCGGCACACCCCTCACGCGTTTCGTGGCCCCATAGGGAGCTCCACCGAAGGCCCCAGTGCTACCGCCCGCATGCGTCCCCCAAATATATTTCGGCATACCCCTCAAACGCTTCGTGGCCCCATAGGGAGCTCTTCCGAAGGCCTCAGTACCACCGCCAGCATGCGTCCCCCAAATATATTTCGGCACACCCCTCAAACGTTTCGTGGCCCTATCATGGGGGCTCCACCGACGGCCTCAGTGCTTCCGCCTGCATGCGTCCCCCACACCCATTTCGGCACACCCCTCACACGTGTCGTGGCCGCATAGGGAGCTCCACCGAAGGCCCCAGTGCTACCGCCCGCATGCGTCACCCACGCACATTCGGGCACACCCCTCACGCGTTTCGTGGCCCCATAGGGAGCTCCACCGAAGGCCCCAGTGCCACCGCCCGCATGCGCCCCCCACACCCAATTCGGCACACCCCTCATACACTTCGTGGCCCCATTGCATAGGATGCTGCACCGAAGGCCCCAGTGCTACCGCCCGCATGCGTCACCCACGCACATTCGGGCACACCCCTCACGCGTTTCGTGGCCCCATAGGGAGCTCCACCGAAGGCCCCAGTGCCACCGCCCGCATGCGTCCCAAAAATCTATTTCGGCACACCCCTCAAACGTTTCGTGGCCGCCCGCATGCGTCCTCCCCCCCCCAACACACACAACACACACACACAATTTGGCACACACCCGTCACACGTTTCGTGGCCCCATAAGGAGCTTCACCGAAGGCCCCAGTGCCACCGCCCGCATGCGTCCCCAATACATTTTGGCACACCCCTCACACGTTTCGTGGCCCCATAGGGAGCTCCACCGAAGGTCCCAATGCTACAGCCCGCATGCGTCACCCACACCCAACTTGGCACACCCCTCACGCGTTTCGTGGCCCCATAGGGAGCTCTACCGAAGGCCTCAGTGCCACCGCCCGCATGCGTCCCCCAAATATATTTCGGCATACCCCTTAAACGTTTGGCGGCCCTATACTGGGGGCTCCACCGACGGCCTCCGTGCTACCGCCTGCATGCGTCCCCCACACCCATTTCGGCACAACCCTCACACGTGTCGTGGCTCCCTCCATAGGGAGCTCCACCGAAGGCCCCAATGCTACCGCCCGCATGCGTCACCCACGCACATTCGGGCACACCCCTCACGCGCTTCGTGGCCCCATAGGCAGCTCCACCGAAGGCGCCAGTGGCTGCGTTCGCATGCGCCCATCGCACCCATTCCGGCACACCCATCACACGATTCGCGGCCCCATCCTGGCCCCGCAGGATCCTGCAAGATCCAACGCCCTTACTGACCCCCGTTTGCATTGACCCCCGTCTCTTGAGCCCCGAGGCTGGGCGGGAGGAGCAGCACCAGCTGTCCAGGCTGAAGGTACGTGCATGTTCACGCCGAGCATGACGCTGCGGACATCCACTAGCAAAGACTTCAAGAAACAGTTGAGGCTCGGCAGCCGCAGCCCGGAGAGTCCCCGGCGTGATGGGGAGCACGGCCTCGAGTGGCTGGACTCCGAGGTAGTTCTTGAGACACTGCGAATGCACCACGGCGTCGCGAATCGTTTGGCGTTGCGCACGAAGCCGACGATGTTTTGAGGTCGCGAAAGCTCCCCAGATGCACCAATCGACAAGCGCGTCCCTCTACTCGCAAAATAGCTGCTTTGCACATGGCCTGAATCCGCCGCGGGGGATTTACGATCCATGACATAGATGAAGACATGTCTTTTCGGACGTTTGCGAGTAGGCACTTTGCGAATATTGGAACGCGCTCGGTGAACCAAAGGAAGAGCAACGGCGCCCAAGGTCGCGCATGCCGAGGGACAGGCGACGCATGGCGGGGACGATCCATTGCTCGCTGCGAGGCGGCTGGTCCGTTTCCTGGAGTTCCAAACTTGAGCCACTGCTTGAGCCTGGATTTACATTCCTCCTCCTCCTCCTCCTCCTCCTCTTCCTCCTCCTCCTCCTCCCCTCAATCTTTTCCTGCCCCAGACCTCCGACGAGTCGTTACGTTCCTGTCTCGGGGCCCAGGACCTCCCGACCCTTGCCCCCTCCCCCCGGGGCTGGACCTCCGTCCTGCAGTCGCCTTTGGACAGCCCCAGGGCCCCACACTGGCCTCCAGAGTCGGACGTGACACTCTCGGTGGAGGTCTGGGCGGCTAGCCCCGGGGGCGGAAAAGTGAGAAGGAGAAGGCCTTCTGAGAAGTTTTCCGAGCCTTCCCCGCAGACGCGGAAACCTCTCAGAGGGCGCGAGGGCTCCTGAGAAGCCCGGCCGCCTCCTCGCTTCCCCCCCTCGCTCGCCGCCGACCTGCCGCCTCACAAAAGGACCCTGCCAACGTCCTCGTCCTCCCTCCTCGAATGTCGACGATGACGACGACGAGGACGAGGACGACGACATCCCCCTCCATCCTCGTCGCCGTCCTCGCCCTCGTCCTCCTCGTCGCCACCGTCGACGACCAGGGACGCCCGGCGCCCCGCCCGCCCTCGAGGATGCCGATCGTCGCGGGCGTGACGCCCTGGGCGCGCAGGATGCCCTCCACCTCGGCGGCGGGCCCCGGCGCGGCGGACGGCCGGGGTGGCCGGGAGGAGGAGGAGGAGGAGGAGGAGCGAGGAGGAGGAGGAGGAGCGAGGAGGAGGAGGAGCGAGGAGGAGGAGGAGGAGGAGGAGGAGGAGCGCGGCGGCGTCGTGGCCTCTCGGCACCGCGCGGATCGGGCCCCGCCTGGAAGCCAAAGCGGCTGCCCCGCCAGCGGCGGGGCCCTGCTCGCTTCGGCGGCGAGCGACGCTTCGGGGGGAGGTGCGGTGGCCTTGCCGTCGCTCGGACGTTCCTTTCCCGTGCATGTTTGCGGCCTCGTGCGCGTTTTTGTTTGCTCGATGGTCCAGGATGGTCCTCGATGGTCCTCGCCGAAAAAAAAATGCACACGTCCGAGCGATGCCGAGTTGCAGTAGGGCGGCCCATGCCAAGAAACACCCTGCTCGCCTCCGGGGTAACCTGGGCTTCCTGGGATTTTCGATGGCTCTGCGATGGACGGCGCGACGTCCCCACACCAAAGATCCAGGGACGCCCTGGGGTCTCAGGGTTGGGTTTCTTGTGAAAGTTTCTTGTGGTCGAGCCCCTACTGTACTTACATCCTCGGGGGACCTTGTCCGTCAACTCTCGGCCCTCTCCGCATCGAATCGGTGTCGAATCCATGTCGGACTCGTCGGATCCGTGTCGAATCCGTGTGGAATCCGCGTCGGATTCACGCCAAATCCGCGTCGAGTCCACATCGAGCCCGCGTCGGGCACAGGAAAAGATACCAATTTGGGGGACAGGCGAGGTCCCTCGAAGATGCGACGCCAAGGAAGTGGGAAGGAGAAGGCCTGCTCAGAAAACGGCGAACCTTCTCGGAACCCCTCCGGCCTTCCGAGAGGTCCTCCGTGTCCTCGGGGAAGGCTCGGCACACTTCTCAGAAGGCGAGGGGGCCCGCCCCCTCCTCTCGCTCCCTCGCTGCCCCCCCCCAGGCCCGCCCCCTCCTCTCGCTCCCTCGCTCCCTCACCGCCCCCCCCCCAGGCCCGCCCCCTCCTCTCGCTCCCTCGCTGCCCCCCCCCCCCCCCCCCCCAGCAGGCCCGCACCCTCCTCTCACTCCCTCACTTTTTCGCCGCCCCCCCCCCAGGCCCGCCGCCAACTTACCGCAGCGCGGAGCCTTCGACATCGGCGGATGCGAGGCCACGGGCGGCGCTCCCACTAGGACGCCCCAGGACGCCCGCGCCGAGGTCTTCCACCGCGTCGGCACGGCACGAGCCTCCCGTGCGCAGCGTCGCGACGCCTAAAACGGCCTCCACAGAAGCGAGCACCTACAACAGCACCCAAAACAGCCTCATGCAGGCGCAGCACCTAATAACCGTCTCATGCAGGCGCAGTACCTAGAGCAGCCTCATGCAGGCGCAGCACCTAATAACCGTCTCATGCATGCGCAGCACCTAAAACAACACCCAAAACAGCCTCATGCAGGCGCAGCACCTCATAACCGTCTTATGCAGGCGCGGCACCTAAAGCAGCCTCCACATAAGCAGGCGAAGGTCTGGCGTGAAATTCGATGAGTTCTGACGTCGGGCACGTGCGGGGGGGGGAGGGCGTGGTGGTGGAGGGAAGGGAGGACAGGCATCCAGGGGGCAGAAGAGCCGCTCTCACAACAAGCGCCCCCACACGGGCGAAGCCTGTGGGTAAACGCCACCCACTGAAGGAATCGCACAGAGCAAGCCTCGCCATCGCTTGGAAGTTCATTTCCTGTGCATTGTTCGATTTCGTGTTTTTTTGCTGGCTCGATGATCTAGGATGCTCCTCGATGGTCCTCGCCGAAACCAAACGCACATGTCCGAGCGATGCCAAGGTAACTACCCTCCCCCCCGGGGGCCTCCACAGCCGTCTGCACGTTCTGCGGGTACGGCATGCCGTGGGAGATGATGGTGGACTCCTCCCCTCTCGTCCTCCTCCGCGCTCGTCCTCCATGTCCACGCCCTCGCCGTCGTTGCCTTTTTTCCAAACCGTCCTTTGGTGTTCGGTCCTCGTTTTGGAGAGACAATGCCCCGCGTCACGTATTCCTTCCTTCCTCCTTCCTTCCTCCCCCCTCCCCCTCCTCCTCCCCCCTCCCATCCCTGCATCTGCTCTCCGCATCAATCGTCGACCGTTTCGGCACACCCCTCATACGTCTCGTGGCCTCACGAAGAGCTCCACCTCCAGTCACAATGGCGCAGCCCGCATGTGGGCGACACCTCCTTTTCGGCAGACCCCTCACACATCTCGTGGCCCCACAAGGAGCTCCACCTAAAACCCCACTGACACCATGTGGGCAACACCTCTGTGTCGGTACACCCCTCACGCGTTCAAGGGAGCTCCACCTGAGGCTCCAATGGTTCAACCTACATGTGGGCGACACCCCCATTTCGGCACACCCCTCACGCGTTCCGTGGCCCCACAGGGAGCTCCACCTAAGGCACCAGTGACGCAGCCCGCATGTGGGCAACACCCCCTTTGCGACACACCCCTCACACGTTTCGGGGCCTCACAAGGAGCTCCACCGAAGGTTACCGTGGCGCAGCCCGCATGTGGACGACACCCCCGTTTCGGCAAATTCTTCACGCGTTTCGAGCTTCCCAACGGGGCCCCAATGGTGCAGCCCACATTTGGGCGACACCCCCGTTCTGACACACCCCTCACACGTTTCGTGGCCCCACAGGGAGCTCCACCTTATGCCCCAATGGCGCAGCCCGCAAGAGGGCGACGCCTCCGTTTTGGCATGCCCCTCACGCGTTTCGTGGCCCCACTAGGGAGCTCCACCTGAGGCACCAATGGCGCAGCCTGCATGTGGGCGGCATCCCTTGTTTCGGCAAGCCCTTCACATGTTTCGTGGCCCCACAGGGACGTCCACCTACGGCCCCAGTGGCGCAGCCCGCATGTGGACGACACTCCCGTTTCGGCACACCCCTCACACGTATCGTGGTCCCACAGGGACCTCCACCGAAGGCGCCAGCGACGCAGCCCGCATGCGGGCGTTGCCCCACAGGGTGTCCCACGTCAATCGGTACTCACACTTGCTGCACGCGCAACTACTTTTGGTTGGCTTCTTCGCCGCGCTAATTTTTGACGATCGGCGAACTTAGCCCAACTCGGGTCGTAGTGTCTGGTGTGCGCACCAAACATGGCAACGTCCGGCTTGGGTGAATCACCGGGCACCAAGAGTTTGAGCACGCAGAGGTTAAGATATCGGCAGTCAGGGGTGGAAGCGCTTTACAGAGGAGCGCAATCATCGTTTAAAACTTGACCCTGCTCCATAGAGGGAGTCCGCGTATGCAGTTTCAGCAACGATTATAAAAAGCCTGGCAATACTTCGCGACTGAACGCCAAAACGCCCGAATCTGCAGTCTGAACACGGAAGCGCCCGAGTCGGCAATCTGAACGCAACAACGCCCGAATCGACAATCTGAACAAGGAAACGCCCGAATGTGCAATCTGAACACGGAGCCACCCGAATCGGCAAAAAACGCCAACATAGGCAATCTAAGCGCGGAGACACCCGAATCGACAATCTGAGCACGGAAACGCCCGAATCGGCAATCTGAACACGGAAACGCCCGAATCCGAATCCGCAATCCGAGCAAAGCATCGCCCATGCCGGCAATTCACATGCCAAGATCAGCCATCTGAACACGGAAACGCCCGAATCCGCCCGAATCGACAGTCTGAACATGGAGACGCCCGAATCGGCAGTCTGACAAGGGACACACCCAAATCGGCAATCTGAAACCGAATCGCCCGAATCGGCATTCTGAACGCGGAAATGCACGAGTCGGCAATCTGAACGCAGAAGCGCCCGAATCGACAATCTGAGCACGGAAGCGCCCGAGTCGGCAATCTGAACACGGAGACGCCCGAATCCGCAATTCGAGCATGGCAAAGCCCACGCCGGCAATCTAAACATGGAAATGCCCGAGTCGGCAATCTAAACATGGAAACGCACGGATCAACAATCTGAGCACGGAAACGCCCGAATCGGCAGTCTGACAACGGAAACGTCCAGATCGGCAATCTGAACACCGAATCGCCCGAACGGGCAATCTGATCACGGAAGCGCCCGACTCGGCCATCTGAACGCAGAAACGCCTGAATCGACAATCTGAGCACGCAAACGCCCGAACCGGCAATCTGAAAACGAAGCGGCCGAATCGGCAATCGCAAGGAGCGCAGGCAGTTCGGGCGACGTGACGGGAAACGCTGCTCGTCGCAACTGATCAGTCCGAATCCCGTCTGTTAGCTATTTGCCTTCTCTGCGCCATGAGTCCAGTCAATCCACGCGCGAATGGCAGCGGCACCTCTCGGGGAGGCATCGCTGGAAGAGTGCCGTAGCAATGATTGACGCGATGCTAACATAACCAAATGCTGCCTGGCACAGGGCAGCCCGCGCCCACTCCAAGCGGCCCAAACGCGCGCGCGATAACAACATTTACTACGGTGACACGATTGTTGCAGCGTTGGTCAGAGTGGCCGGCGCCGAGTCATCCCCGCAGACATCTTTGCGTTGTTTCGCGACGTGTCGCCGTGCTGTGTGACCCATGGCTCCTGCTGCGTCCATTGCTCGGGGCCTCGATTGTGTTATAGCCTCTCTGGTCACCCTTTAAATCCTCAACGCACGATGCAAGCAAAGTCCGTCCTCGGGAGAAATTGGGTCGCGTCGTTGTCCGTGTTGAGCGATTGCTTCATCTAGCTCCTCGATTGTGGTTTCCTGGATCCTGAATCGCTTGGGCGGCTGGTCACTTCCGCGACGCTAGTGGGGCTGCGTCGGAATCGTCGTCTAAGTCCTCTTATGTGGCGTCTGTTGCTGAGCTGGGTTCTACGTCGGCAAGATCGTCTACGTCGTCGGCGCGTCGCCGGGGTGGTCTTCCGGTTCCGCGCGAGGCTGTTCGCGGCGCGAACGACGCAAGATCTCGTCTCTATTCGTCTCTCATTGGGTCCTGGACGATTCTGCGAAAACGCTCGCACCACTGGTTGCAAAATTGCTGCTGTTGTTTGCTAAGACCTGGTATCTCTAACGTTTTACTGGCTCTTTTCAGCCATTCCGGTAGAGTTCGCCGACATTATTTCAACGGATCCTGTCGCTTCGGAGGAAGCCCGCAAACTGCTCACCCGACGGAACACTCATGCCTCGCATCTCGGCGGCGCGCCGCGGCTCTGAGCAGACTGGGGGACTGGGCTCTGCTTCGCTGGTCAGGAATTCATTCGGGACGCTAGGGAATTCTATAAATGTCCCAGCTGGGCTATCTGATTTATCTCTGATTTATTAAACCCAGAGTTGATGCGCCAACCCAGCTCATGCCAACGCGTCTCCAATTCATCATTGGACACTCTGCCATTGCACAAATGGAGCTCCGATCCATGCTTCTGATGATCTCATTGCGCGCTTCCTCCAGATTGGTCGTTGCTCCTTCCTGCGCCGCCCATGCCATTGAGTAGTCGATGGCGACGCTCGGTGCAAATGTCTGGAGCAACCGAGCCCATTCACTTGCATGGTCTGCGGTCCGACGACATGCAGGGCCCAGCATTGCGAGAGCTACATGTCTTTCGCGGGTAGCGCCCCGTCTCGAAACTCGCTGGATTCCGGGACTTCCTGGCGCGAAAATCGCCCTTGGAGGACTGGCCCGCCCCTCTCAGTGGCGCCTGAAGCCCCGGGGCCCTCAGAAGGTAGCCTTCCAGCTGGAGCTCCCCGCGCGGCTCGAAACCGGCGCCCGCGCGCCGGCAAAGGGCGCGGGACAAGCGCCGCATGGCCCGGGCCTCCTGGACCTCGCCCTGCGCGACTCCCCTGCCGGGGCAAGGCGCCGGCGGGAGACGCGAGGGTGGCGCGAGGGCGGGGCAGACAGGGCCGCGGCTCCTCGTAGAGGGCCCAAGGGGCCTGGCGGGAGGCAGGGGCGCTGGGTGGGCCCGCGAGATAGCTGTGACCCGAGAGCGATCAGCACCCGGAGCCCCGGCTTCCCCGCGAGGAGGCAGGGGTCCTGGGCGCGCCTGCGAGGACGCAGTGGCCCGAGAGCGAGATGCGCCAAATGCTAGGGTTTGCCCGCGAGGAGGCAGGGGCCCTAGGCGAGCCCGCGAGAAGGCGGCGGCCCTGCGCGCGGCTCTTCGCGGGGGGCCCGGTGGAACAGGCGACGCCCCCAGGGGGCCTCGCGGCCACTGGCTCTTCGCAGAGGGCCAGCCCAGCAGGCGCCCGCGGCCAAGGAGGGCGGCGCTCACGCCGCCGCGCCGCGGGCGCTGGGGGGCCTCTTCTGCTGGGCCGAGCGGCGCGACGCGCGACCTGATGCCCAGACGCGCGAACTGGGTGTCCGAATGCGGCGCCTCCGAAAACAACCGCGCGCTCGCTCGCCCCGGGGGCCGCGCTCTATCGCGGGGAACCGCGCCAAGATGCGCTTCCGCCGCTCCGGAACAAGCGAGCGGGCGCGCCGAGAACCGCTCGCCCACGGGGCAGGCGCCGAGGCGCGCGAGCGGAGGAAGAGGGGCTGAGGCGAGCGCCCGCGGGCCTGCTCCCTATGATGTTCCTGTGCCGGAAACAAGTTTCCGCATCGTGAATTTACGCGCGCCGCGGTTCCCGCGATAAACGGTCGACACCTGGATCGTATAGCTCTCGTTCTTACCAGGTCTAGCAGGATATCCGTACCGAGTGCGTCTTCAGTGGGGCCCCGGGGGATATCAATAATCCAATCCTGATTCGCCGCGCGGGGTGAGCTCTTCTGGTGCCAGCCCGCAATATCCCTACGCGAATCTCAAATTAACCGAACTGTGCCATCCAAAACCTTTGTTTCCCTTGCAGTCCACGCAACAGTAGATCCGTTCAGCCAGTGCACTACGATTGACAGAACCGCCGCGAGTCCAAGCTGATCACGGTGGCATTCAAGGGGGACCCGTCGCAATTTACCAAATCCCTCGCCTGAC